CCACTGCGCGGAAGTGGAAACCCTACCGCCTACCCAGCGATGCAATGTTTTAAACAGAGTCTGGGCCCAGGAATTGGGACCTGGCGGCTCAAAGCAGCTCCTGTGAGAATAAGGAGAGGACCATGGCGTAGAAGGAGGCACAAACCTTTACTGTTCAGAAAAGGAGCCCGGTAGGGACCTCTAGCACAGCAGTTGCGCCCCAAGCCTGTTCGAAACCTCTCAATCAGCGCGGCCGCTTGAGCACTTGTGGCGGCTACTACTACTACTACTACTACTACTACTACTACTACTACTACTACTACTACTACTACTACTACTACTACTACTACTACTACTACTACTACTACTACTATTTTTTCAATTGAACGCTGCGCGAGCGTGCTCTGCGCTTTGCGGGCGCCTTTGGTCTCGTGCACTCGTGAAACTGCTGCTAGCATTCATTGCTCAGACCTCTCAATCTGCTCAGTCTACTCAGTTACTAAGTTTCAACTATGGCTTCCTCCTCTGATGCCCATACCTACCTCGGAGCCAGAGTCGCTTACCAGAACCATGAAGCTCTCAACCTGCAGCACCGACTGCAACTTGGCTGGCAGGCTTACTGGCGCTTGGCCAAGGTCCTCCGCTGTCGAGCACTGACCCTAGACAGCAAAATCCGAGTTTGGAAAACATGTGTTTACCCGGTCGTCCTATACTCCCTGGAGGCAACAGGCATCACCCACCACTCCCGCACCCTCCTTTCCCAGTTTGTCCACGCCCAGCTCCGACTCATCCATAAATTACCGGGACACATCACCAAAGTTACCTCCCACGATCTATTATCCAGAAGCCAGCTTGACTCACCAAGCGACACCCTTGATCAGCGCATTCAACGACACCTACAACAAGCCCCGGACTTCCCCACTGCAGCACAGGAAACCTGGTTCGACCTGCTGCAGGACTACTCGACGGCGCCCGCTGTCTCCACATCAGACCCTCCTGACTCTGTGATCACTTCCCGGGCAGGCTCTACTCGCGCCCACCTCAGACCAGTCAGCAGCGTCCTCAGCTATCGGCCGCTCAGCTGTCCTATCTGCGCAGTAGGCTACAGCACGCTTCAGGCCGTCCGCCTCCACATGCGGAAATCCCACCACACCCAAGTCCGACAGGCCCCCGCCTCCTCGGGTTCGCGCCCAGCTCCCGCTCAGGCTCCTGACCCAGATCAGCCCTCCTCCACCCCTGCCGTCATCATGGACCCAGATGCTGCTGCGGCCCCGACCACGTTACCTGAATTTGCAGCAGATGAGCATGCTTTGTTTGTTTGGCAGCATGGCCGCGAAGGTCTTCCGCAGTGCCGGCACTGTCTCAGACAGTGTGATTCGTGGCATAATTTACGAATACACATTTCCACCAAATCTTGCAGAACTTTGGTACCAGACGGCTTCAATGCCCTGCCCCCCAAACACAACCTAAATCCGACGCCGCTGTACCATAGACCTGACTGCCAACCCTACCTTGTAGGAACTTGGGAGAAGCTTGCCTCCTGGTTGAAAAAGGAGTTTCCCCAGGCAGTCCACCACTGCCCGTACTGTCACCAGTGGCTGACCCAAGCGCGTGGCCTTCGAGCACATATCAAAGCCAAGCACTCTCCGATGACTGCCTGCTGTGAAGAGGCAGTCCGGCGCATGCAAACTAACCGCAGGCTTTTGGCCCTTGGCAGCACCTGTCGCTACTGCAGCCTTGCACTAACGGGCGCGCCCATCAAGCACGCCACTGAGTGTGCAGTCCTGTTTCTGGTTCATTTGCTGCAAGCCACGCATTCACTACATCGTACGACTAACTTACCTCAGGTCAGCGATGACCCTCCCCTCGATGTTCAACGCGCACCAAGTGAGCCCGGAAGACCTGGAGGAGGCCACTCACGAGCTCAAAAGCATCGAGGCGCAGATTCGGCTGATACCCACACAGCCCCAGCCCCTGATGGCCCCGGCGACCACGATGAACGAACCCCCGCCACAGGGAGGCATGCCGGATTCCTCGAATCCACAACAGTCGGAAGTCCCTGACAGGCCCTCGAAATGGCAGCGGGACAACAGCAAAGGAGCCAGGCAAGGGGAAGGGCTCATCGGGCCGCGGATCCCAGGGCCAACAGAACCCTGCCAATCGCCCTCCACAAGGCGGCCCACCAAGACGTCAGGGAGGTCGCCCCCCCGGTTACCACCCCCAGCCTCCATGGCAGACAGGGCTACGGGCCTACTTCCCGCCCCGACCTCACTCTCATGTGCCACACCATGGCCAGACTCCTCATGAGGCACGAGGACGCTCTCTCAGTCCTACAACAATCCACCACATGGATCCTCTTCCTCACGACTCAGCCACCGGGCACGGTCCTCCCCAAGCTGTTCGCCACAGCCCAGGGATGGCACAAAAATGCGGTGGAACGACCCGGACTCCATCACCAATCCGATGCGCATCATTCTATGGCAGAAACTGATGCTCGAGCTGTCCCAGCGTGCCCAGAAGGTAATCGATCAGGAGGACGCCCGCGAGCAGGCGATTCAAATGGAGCTATACAACCCGAATACGGGGTTTGGATATCGCAAGTGGAACAACAAGGAGGGCGTGATGCAGCCCATTCCCGTCCGAGAACCGCTCACGGCACAGAAGGTGGTGGAGATTGCAAAGGAGCTGGCGACGCTGAGTGTACAACCGCAATTGCTCAACAGGTTCCATGCCACTCGCCAACTGGAGGAGAAAATGGAAGGCAGCACGGTGACCTGGCTACTGGAAGTGGGTTGGAGGGGCGAGAATACAGCTCGATTTTGGGAGTTGCTCCAGCTCCTCTCGCACAACTCCTCTCTTCTGATGATCGGTTGCACCCTCCGCCCGGATCGCCTCCAGAGATCAGCCCTGGCCCAGCAGCTCCAGACCCTCCTTCAGTCCATGAACATCCCTATGCCGAGACAGCCGCCGAGACCTCAGCACTGCTCCTGACATTGCAACTCCGCAATCCTTCCAACTACTGCTACTCCCACGCCTGCCTCATCACATATCTTTGGATTGTGTCCCAAACCCCCTCCTCTTTTCAGGTACTGGACCGGGAACCGCTGAGGAGCTTCATCGCCCAGGCGCGCAAACAACCACAAGTGACACTCTGGTCCCTCCTACCGTGGAGGCAGGCAATGCGACGCTGGCCTCACCCAGCCAGGCAACATGATGCCGCGGACTTCCTACTCCACTTGCACCAAGTCCTCAATGCGCCCTGCTTTCAGGGCCTCTGGCAGTCATTTGACGACAGCCACATGCTTCTAGATGAAGGCGGGGTCTGCCCACTTATACTTTCCGGAATGCAAGATGCCTCAGACATTATTGCCACCACAGCCCAGTCCTGCATCAATCGCTGGCATTCGCAGAAACGTCGCCATGCCCTGATTGCAGGTACTGAAGCGGTGGCTGTACAGTTAAACCGCTTTCGCAATGAACAGGGCATTGCATCCAAACGTGACCATCGCATAGATGCTGATCCTGAAGTCCTTTTCCCACAACGGACTCCCTCGTCCCCCGAAGGCATCATATGGAGAACCTATCAGCTTCAAGCGGTTGTCCAGCATATTGGACCTACCATGGTCAATGGGCACTACCGTGCTGCACTCAAACCTCGTTCCAGAGCTGCGGGCCCTTGGCATTACACCGATGACAACAGTGCTGCACAATCAGTCCTCCCAGCTGCCTTGTCTAAATCAAGTTATATCCTCATATACCGGATGAGGAGTGCTGCAACTTCCACATAGGCCCTTCGGGGCAGCGTAGCTACGTAGCTAGATGAGTCGATCCAATCGAGATCGAGCGCCACAGTGCGCCGGGTGACCCCGCTCGAGTCATCGCAATGCGACTTCACCGTCCGCAGCGAGTGTGATGATACTACTACTACTACTACTACTACTACTACTACTACTACTACTACTACTACTACTACCTACTACTACTACTACTACTACTACTACTACTACTACTACTACTACTACTACTACCACTACGACTACTACTACGACTACTACGATTACTACTACTAGTAGTACGATGACTACTGTACTACGACTACTACGACTACTACGACTACTACGACTACTACGACTACTACGACTACTACGACTACTACGACTACTACGACTACTACGATTAATACGACTACTACGACTACTACGACTACTACGACTACTACGACTACTACGACTACTACGACTACTACGACTCTACTGCTACCATCTGCTACCACTGCCACTACCACTGCCGCTACCACTACCACCACACCATTACCAAAGCTGCTACGACACGCCCCTCCTGCTCAGACTTGTCAACGTGTTGACATGGGGCATGTTTACTTCATTGAAGGACGTGACTAGCTGGAACCGCCAAGCATGTCAACATGCGGAAATGCGAGATTGGACAACATTCGCACACCGGAAATACCAAACATGCTGCAATCAACAGCATTTGAAGCCCTCAAACAGTAGGCATGTGCTGCAATTTTCACTGTAGCCAATTTCGCACCTCATGCCCAAACTTCTTTAATCCTCTCTTCTGTCATGGACATGTAACCCACGGTTATATTGTCGCTAGCGGTTCCCCCTAGTTCTGTTTAGAAAGCCCTTGCTGAATTCTCACATCCAAAGAAGCACGTTGAGGCTTGACACCCAGGGTGCGGACTTTGGAAATGGGGTGTCGTATCGGGAAGCATGCCATTTTCTCATCGTTCACACGCGCACTGTATGTAGGTATCCTGGAACCCATATATGTCTGACAACGTTGTGTTGCTTGAATGGCCAATGCAAGAGTGCACAGTCATGCTGGAGACGGCTGTTTCAGAGGCGGCCGGAGGGCATCAGTCTATGAGGCAGGGCAGAAGATGAACTCTAGTGACAGAATCGATTGGTGCCGATGTTTCGTACTTCAGGCGAGTGCCGGCAACTTCACGCAGTCGTGACGCAGTTCGCGGTGCAGAGGACGGTGGTGGGCCGACCACGATGTCTCGGTCTTCCGGCCCGTCCGGCCCAGAGACGAGCGCTGGTCCGGGCGGAGGCGTCGGAGGCGATGGGGATGCAGGCAGCGGGGAAGCCTTCGGCTTCGAGGCTTGGGCACATGCCGGGCCTGCGGATGGCGCTGCGGGATCTGCAGGGGCCGTCGAGTCCTGGCCGAGTTGGCCGAGCGCTGATGGCGCAGCGGGGAGCGCGGAGCGCGCCGAGCGCAGCTCGGATCGAACGGAAGCCTTCAGAGCCGGGGATGGGGCAGCGGGATTGGCTGGAGAACGCGAGACGGACGCGCACCCTCCGTCTCGTCGCGGACCATCAGGGCACCTCGGTTCATCAGGAGGCGGCGATGGTGCTGCTGGTAGAAGCGGTGGAAGCGAGTCCGAAGTCGGACACGTTTCGCAGTCCTTGGGTGGAGATGGTGCTGCAGGTGGAGGCCTTGATTTCGGCCCAGTGTGAAATAGTCTTGTTCTATCTTGCTGTGCCTTCAGCAGGCCGTGCCCGTGAAGGAGATTTTGGTGGTGGAGCTCCCAGCGTGAGCCCAGAAGCTCCGAATGAGGCTCGTTCGGCGTGGCTTTGCGATGCTTTGCGCGAAGTTGTAGCGCGGGCCAACTGGCGAGTCCTCTGCAGGGCCATCCGATGCCAGACGAAGCGGACCGTGCTGCGGTATCATGTCAGCATCTGGAATCTAGCTGAGTGGAAGAGGCCAAGGCTGTGGTGATTCCCAGTTCCGGCTGTTCAGTCAGGGTACTAGACTTGCTTCCGTGCCTGGCCTCACGCAGTGACAGCGTCAAGAACGACGACTCGATAGCGTTTGCCATACTCATGTAAGGCCTCGTGGTAGGAGTTTAGGCGGGCTGGCAGAGGCTGACATTGGTGACTAAATGTGAGAAGTGAGGCAGCCTTTCGGATGACTTTTCAGTTGCTTGACTTTGAGGCACCACCTGCTGGGATCTCGCAAGGCACAGTTGAGTCACTGCGTCTGTGCTCCTGTGCGATGCAACTAACATGCTCTCCTGGCTTGGACATTCTGCATCAGTGCAGATCCACGTAGAGTCTGTCAGGGCAGCCCCGCCAAATTCACGAACAAGCGGCAGTCTCGGCTGTCTGCCAATCCGAAAGCTGTGGAGAGAAATCCTGTTCTGGCCAGCCTGTTTGCGACGTTACAAGCCAGCAAAATCCCGAACGCCGCCTTAGGAATCTGAGGAGTTTTCGCCAGACTCCGCGTCGCAGGAGCGCAGCTGAACAGGGACTGTGTAGTTCAAGTTTACCGACGACAGGACTTCGAAGATGTCCAGCCGCAGTCCTTGGACGATGCTTTGCTGTCTCTTGTCAGCTGCTGGGCTGCATCAAGGGATCCTCAGTCTGCCGGGCACCTGAAATTGTTGTCCTGTCGCACAGGCCACAATGGTCGGGGGCATGATCGCCAACAAAGTGGTGAGCGTGAGGGCTCGGTGCCAGAGCCGCGAAGCAGCAGTTTGAGGTGGTGAGCTGTGGAGGAATCCATCTCGAGAGTATTTTCTGAGGTTCGATGTGTCCGAGGCACCCAGCAGGAGCACGGTGCTATTGTCAGATTTGTTGGCTGGACTTTGGACCCCAAGGCCTTTAAGCAAGCTGATGCAACAGGCTATGAACGTGTGGCAAGGCAGCAAGGCTTCGAGCCTTTGGCCTTTGGTCGTTGAGCGGTGTCGAACATCGGGGACAGGAGCTCTTCCGACTCGAGCTGTGCGCGCGAGGCTCGCAGTCGAACTGTAATCTTGATCTCCGCAATGGGTGCTGGCATATTTACTTGGAAGGCCTTAGGCTTGCATGATTCTGCCAGGAAGCTGTGATGTGATGTTCTCACAGAAGCTACTGCCAGCCGCTGAGTCCGAAGCGCAACCCAATCGCCGGCCGGATAAGAAAACACAATGAAATAAATTGAATTTCTTCGAAAAGCGTCTTCTCCGACACAAACCAAGGGCCACAAAGCACTTCTTCGTTCTTCTTGCTTCACCAGGGGTGAGACCTGCGGCAGAGCTGTGCCTTATGCAGCCCCTGCAAACGAAGTACAATGTTACAAGGGTTCTCCTCTTCAACCAGGGTCGGTCGAAATGCTTCACAAGCATACTCTCTGCCCCTGGTCTGGGCTGAAGTTGCTGCCTGCTACATCTGCTACAGCTATTCGGCGACCTTGCGTAACGAGTTGTCCTGTGAGCTCGACATGAGGTTGTGACACTGCCGGGAAGTCACCTGATCTCACCCTCGTTACACATGCCTGCTCCTTCGGTTTCGCCGAAATGTCGGGCATTCCTAGGCCCCTCCAATGTGAGCGCGGATTGTTAATGTATTTCAGGGTCCTCCGGATGCTGTCGCAAAAAGCGCGCAGTGGCACGCCAGCAGCCCCGTTCAGAGTTGTGCAGGCTCAGATGTCGTGTGCAGGCCATCAGGAATTCAGTGTTCACGGATAGTGATGTTGTTTTACTCCGTCGTTGGGCGCAACATTGGAGATACGCAGTTGACAGTGGGCAGTTCTTCTCTATGTCGAAGCCGTTGCAATGGCATTGGCGAGTGTGGGCAAGGCAGCTAGCAGGTGCCCACATGTGCCCCCTAATGTCGTGGATATTGCGTATCACTCTCTTTTCGACACTTGAGCAGGGAAGTGGTGACCGAAGAAGATAAGGGTGATGAGTTTGAGCCCAGGATTGGAATCGAGTCGCAGACAAAAGACAAATCTTTACTCCTACTGCTTGCAAGGCCAAGGCCAAAACAAGAAGGGCAGCTCTGCGGTGGCAAAGTTTCTGCCGGCGGAGGGCCGCCGCCTGAGGCCGGGCCGGGCCGGGCCTCACATCTGCCTTCCGCTGCCGCGACGCCCGTCAGCAGAGCCGAGTGGTGGCGTGGCCGGCGGCCGCTTGCGTTTCGCGCTTTGTAGGCGACTCGCCCGACTAGCCCGACGTCTAAGTCCGAGTGGGTGACCAAGAGCAAGGCAGGGGCAGACTCAGAGCAGCGCTGGCTCAACATTTTTGTGCGTTCTGGATATGTCTGTGAGGTTAAGGCTAGATGTGGCAGAGCCTTGCCCTCAGTCAGCAGAGCCGAAGTGCTGAGTGCGAGCGCACTTCCGGGTGGTGTGAGAGTTCTTCATGCGTTGCTGGGTCGTGTTTCAGCTCAGCACGCTTGAATGTCCCAGGTCCTCAACTTTGTAGTCGAGGATTCGCTGGCTCAAGATCCGGCACTCAGCCTCCCGGACCACGTGAGGCCTCGCGAACATGAGAAGTGCAGGGATGTTGCTTTCACACCACGCGAGGCAGCGATGGTCTGTCCGGCTTGCAGAAGCTGCCAGTGGCGCTGCAGCCATCGGAAAGCCTTGGAAGGACCTCTTGAGTCTCAAGACCGATCCTGTGCCGTTCTTGCTGTTCCGGACCGCGCAGGCGCACCATCCGCCTCTGCCTTGGTACGCGGTTGAGCTCATGCGGGTTTGCACGGGCACCATGCACCTGAGCTCACAGCTGATGTCGCTGCAGGCTGGGTACGGAAACTGAAGGCTGCACAGCGCAAGCAAACATGTCTTTGTCATGTCCAGGCACAAAGGAGCAAGCGGTCGTGGATGTGGAAGGACCCACGGGTCATAACTTGTTAGTTCAGCCTAAACTTTAGTAACTTTAGTTAATGTTTCTACGTCTACACCCTGCCAGGTGCAGGCATGTGCAGGCATTTCAGCTCTGCGATTTGGGAAGGTCCGGTGGCACAGTGCACTGGCAGGATGGGCCGTTGGCAAGGATGCTGGCAAGCTGTGGTGACATGCTAACAGAGGCTCCGTTCTGTTGAGCCTTTGCTTTGCCATGCTTTGCCCGTGGCTTCAGACGACACTGAACCCGATGGCATTTGAAAAGGCCGGCTCTGTGATCGAGTCTGTGTCTGCAGCGAGGCAGGCCAGCGGATGTAGGAATTCGAATCACAAGGATCGATCGTGCCCAGTGAGTCGTTTTCCGTGCCAGTCTTGAGAATGTTGGAGCCTGGTGGCCCGTGGCCTTCTTCTCATTTGTTTTCATGCTCTTAACGCACGAATGGCACTTGCTTGGATGGACTCTGCACCGTCTTTCGCTTCCCCACGCCACCTGTGGAGATGGTGACCACAGAGTATCCGTCGTTGTAGCTCACATCATGTCGAAGACAGTGAATCTTCTGTAAAGTCGCAGGAGCAGCTGCGGAATGGCCGGAGCAACAGCAAGCACCAAGGACACCCAACCAGCAGAGTGTATGTGCAGGAGATCGCAGACTTTGTGCAACAGACAAGGGCTGCAAAGGCAGCAAAGTACAACACCGCAAACCCGTGGAAGGTTGTGCGCTGTGCGTTCTGCGCCCCCCCGCTCCTTTTCCTAATAGAAGGGCCTGGAGCCCAAACGCCAGTGCGGAGGAATCAGGGGACCAATCTCTGAAGCTCAACACCCCAGACGTTCCACGGCGGGGAGGGGGGATAATCACATGCACAACCATTAGAAGAAGGCCCTGAACCAAACCACGAGCTATTCCAAGCGCGAGCAGGACCAAGGCCCAAGCCGTTCCACCAAAGGAGCGAGATGACCGAATTGGGTGATACCGTTGGTTGTGGGGGTTGAATCAGGGGGAGGGGGGGTGGCCGCTGGGGCGCAACAAAGACTTGCCCGGCACACTCTGTGGTCAAAGCAAGTGAAGCTGACATGTTGAATGGTCTGTCTCTAGCAGCTAGCACAACGGGAACGGGCTTTTCGGGTCACATGCCGTGACAGGTGCTCTCAGTCCTCGTCATTTCACGCCACACTGCGAGCAATGCGGGAACGATGTGACTTGGTCCGAAGTCTTGGCTGTCACCAAGACGAGGATCTGTTTGGATTTGATTATTTATTTATCCTGACGATCACACACACACACGATTATTCCAGTGTGGGGCTTAGGAGGTCTCCCGGTTGCTGGTGTAAACGGGCACAAGATGTGCTAAGGGCGATCAGAAGCTTGGGGTTGAGGCAAGGGCTCACGCTTGGGAGTGCCAGTTGCGAGAGATTTGTCGGATCTTCTTTCAGGTCCTATTGGGTTTGGCGGTGCTGATGAGCGTGTCAACTGAGGCTTGCCAGCCTACTTGTCCGAACCAACAGTGCCACCCTGCCGTGCTCCCACACAGCCTCGATGCGCCTGCCAGCGGCTGTGCTTCGTGCAAGGCCTCTCATGTACAGCAGACGAGGCCATGTCCATGACCCAGGTGCGGGACTTAGATCTTGACTTCTGCAATTGACTTCCACCGCAACAAAGACGGCTCTCACGCGCCTTCGCGGGGCTGGAGCAGCTCTGGGTCTCGCTCTCAGGCAGGTCAGAAGAAGTCAAGGAGATGCAGCAAGAAGGGATAGGTTAGGCCGTTGCCTTCGCTTCGCGCAGGCTTGAGGCGCCGGGTTTCCACGGTGTTGCAGGCACGTCCCCACCGAGCAGAACTTGTTTTGCTTGCATGCGCAGATACTAGCGTTTGACGTGGACCGTCAGGCATTGCTTTGGCAACTTTACATGTTGCACGTTCTTCAGCATCTCTGTAGTCAGCGTGCCAGGGTTTGGGAAAACCAGTCGCACAATGTTCGACAGGTGAGGTCATTGACCAAGATTTTTTCATCTTGGTGCCCGTGGTGGAGATGACGCTATCGTCCCTCGACGGTTCGTTCCAAGAACACCAAGCTGCAGCAGTAGAAAACGCTTTTTGGTGAGCCAGCATGTCGGCAAGATGGCATTTCCACAGGGCATCCAATTCTGGGAACTCTTGTGGTGTTACTGGATTCGGAATTTTGGTGTGGAGTGGTGTCATCCTTTCAAATTTCTGGAGTCTGTGTTCTCACGCTTGGCTCTGAGCACGGGCCAGCCCTCGTGGAGGAGTTTGATGCCTCGGATTGTCAACGTAGTCACAGGCTTCGTCCTTGTGGAAGGATGGGGCTTGGGCCTGCGAGGAGACAAGCTAGACAAGCTAGACAAGCTAGAAGCCAAAAAGTACCAGACGTCCACTTCATGACCCTGCGCGAAGCTGCAGGGTTTTCTGGAAGGGCATGTTGTGCAATTGCCAAGCAAGTTCACAGTACTCACTGGATTGTTTGTCATTCGTCCGCGGTGAGTTCCCGGTCGTTGGCACAGTCGCAGCATGAACCGGCAACTGTTTCCCGAGGCCACATTTATTTCCATCCTCCGATTACATGTGTTCCAGTGAAGCTGAGATGTTGAATGTTGTTGGGTACACTTCTGTTCCAGCCCCAGGAATTTGGGGTGGCTGACAAAGCTTGTTTTCCAGCAGCTCGAGCTCGACCTCTCTCATGTGCCGCAGCCCCGGCATTCACCGTCTTGTCGTCTGTCAAATACAGGCCCAACAAGCATTTTCGCTGGGCTCATGTTGCAGTTGCCTGTCAGTACCTGCTGCTGGAGCGAGCGGAGTTGACTTGGAGTTGCTTCCTCCATTCACCTTCATCGTCAGGGTTCGAGTTGGGCACAAGTGCCGTGCATTTCGTCGAACAATTTCTCGATTTGACCTTTCTTTATCCGGGTCTCCTTGCGCTCGACTCCGAAGCCACAAACCGCGAGCCGGCAAATCTCACATGCCGCCCAGCATGAAGGCCTGCTGAAACGGCCGGTGCCGGCGGCCCTTTCGCAGATCCATCGTTGCTCGGTTGCGAAAGGCCTGCTGGTGCTTTTACATCAATGCTGGGTTTGTGACAGGATGAAGTCGATTGTGGTCAGTCCATCCATCAACTCGGCATGGGCAGAGGAAACCGCCCTTCGCTTCCCTGTTTCCTTTTTTGCAGCCGTGTTGAGGGATTGAACCGCCGCCAGGAGTCCCAGCTTCTTGACGAGGCCGCCGAGGCCAGTATCCTGCCTGCCGTTGTCTGTACCTTGCCGAAGTCAGCGTGTCATGCTTCCTTTCTGGGAGGCCGTGCAAGAAGAGGATCCAAGGCGAGCAGTTGCACCGGAAGACATGCAGCGGCCACGCCTCCGTCTGCGAGGACATCGCCTTCGCAGCCTGCACCGGAGGAGCTCGAGGCACCTGCCGCGACGTTTTGAAGTGTGAAGGAATCAGCTGGGATTTACATGATACGTCCAGAGATGTTACTCGTGTCTTCGGCAGGGTGCTTCGAGTGCAAAGGCGAGCAACAGGTGCGGCGACACTTGTGTCAAGCGGTGCTCGCACGCGAGTGTATTTCTCTGTGTGTGTGTACACCCTGGTTCTAAGCTAAGGGTTTTTGCATGTTCGCAATTTTATCGCAGCCGGGGGGCCTGAGGCTCACAGAGAGGAATCAGGCCAACGAAGACGCCTGTCTGTTGAGTGTGCAAGGATCCTGGGACGCTGGGATCACGTACCTGCTTTTTGATCGCATGGCAACAGGCAAAGCCGAGAACCTGACAGTGCTATGCAGTAACTTCGCGTGAGTGTCGACTTTGCCAGGTTAAGTTAAACACTTAGGTAGCGTCTCACTGTCCTCAAGACCGTCCTTGGAATCGAATAGTGGCGGAAGCGATATACGAAACATTTACCATTTTCCGTGTGTCGGCCTTGTTGCCAGTCGACACCTAGCCCGGTTTGGGCAGTGTCAGTTTCCAGGTTCTGAGCTGGGAATACCCATGTAACCGGTGCGGCTAGACCGCGTTGAGCTTGCCATAGCACCAGGTCCGGGCCATCTTTCTCTGTACGTAGGTCTGGCCAAAGAGCTTACCATAGCAAAATGGACAAGTGTCGGACTTGTGGTCCAGGCTTTTGGGTGCTGCCCTGATATTCGTGGCCCTATGCAGCCTTCAGTGACCCAGAGTCTGCAAGTGCACGGGAATTTAGATACCCCTCTCGCAACATAGCCAGCACTGATTCAGGTTCGGATGCGGCGGGTGTTGATAACGATGAAGAGATTTCGGTGCAATCTGACTTTGCGGCAGGTATGGTTATTTCTTATCAGGAGCCACAGTCGAGTGATATTGACCTTAGCCTCTCAGCGCCGTCTTGATGTGAGCCCTGATTCGTCCAGCGAGTCAGATGTGGAGGTTCCGGGACCTACGACTCCCGCCACAGGTGCAGACGTTGACCTGACCCCTCGAGGAACCGCTGCAGAGACCAGAGCTGCGAGACCTAAGGCACGGATGGAAGGTCGTCCGAAGACGACTACAACCAAGGCCCGTGGATTTGTAGGTCGTCAAGCTCGGGCAGTCATCTTCCTGTCAAGGAACAACGCGGCCGTCCCAACCTTCCGAGGTCGTGGCAGAGCACTAACTCGGAATACGATTCGAGTCGAGACTACGGCCTGAATCTACCTCGTCAGGTTCTTTCGAATCGCTTTACCAGAGATTTGAACATTGAAGGCACCGACATTATGGATGTGAAACTGTTTCAGGTGATGAGGGGAGGTGTCGCCAATTGGGGATTACGATCCTTCGCCAACGGCAGACACACAGTCTTTGAAGCATTCAAACCCCGTCAGGAAGCTATCATGGCAGGTACCTTGATGCGAGCCCTGAGAGGTGATTCGGTGAGTACGTCAGGGGGCTGATCTCAATGCTACACTCACCCACGTGGTGAAGAACAAGTTTCCCGGACAAGATCCATACATTTGGGACAACAGGTACGCAGCTATTAAGGAGTTGGCCGACGTCTTAGCCAAAGTTGTTCAGCAAAGGGGACCTGCAGCTGCAAATCAGTCTATGCTTGATCAGGTTCGAGTTGCAACGTGTGAGAATACTAGACTGAAGAGTTCAGGTTCCAGAGAGACAGCACCGGCCACACCCAAGCGACCATCCGCAGGTGCCAAGCATCCTAAAAGTCTCAGCACACCGACGACATGTACTGCCAAACCCACCCCCAAGAGTTCCGCTTCCGCCAATCCTCCCCGGCCCTCCTGCAGGCGCCCCAAGCCCAAAACCACAAGAGATGCATCTGAGCCGCCTGTGCGTAGCCTGGAAGAGTGTTGGAATGCACTAGAAGATGCGGAAGAAGAAGAGGTTGGTCAACATGTTCCCGAAGAGCTTGAGACCCTTCCTCCCCATGCGGATCCGCTTGACACTGTGGATAGTTTTAGGCCCAAGTCCGGTCACCTTATGTTGGATGACTGCAAGTTCGAGAACAACAAGGTTGCTACTATCAACAGTTGGATTTCGAGCAAAGTCGGCAAGGAAAGCGTGAGCCAGGTTCACGCAGCAGCTGATGAATTATCAGCGGCTATCTCGCGTCTTTCTCCAGGAAGCAGACCTGCTTTGGATTCCATGGCAGTCTCTTGAGGACTCCCGGTTAGTGCAGCAGCCAAGACCGGAGAGAAGTCACTTAGCGTGTTAGTTGCTACCTGTTTTGCGATAGGACAGGAGTGACTCCAGCCGACGCAGGAAGGGAAGGGACCAAGGCGCCACGTCGCACCAGGACATCTGGCCGATCAGTGTCCCGTGCCCACATGGTCCAATTTCTCCGCAATTTCTTTCGATGGTTTGCATTGATTCTCCTTGCGCTCTTCCAACTTCTACCTCATCGAGTGCTTGATCGTTTACTTTGGGTTCGTGCTCGACTTTTTGTACAGGCAGTGCGATCTTCTTTTGGTTCCTTTCCACCAAGTTCTTTCGCAAGTTTCGTGATCTTCTTCAGGTCAACCCAGTGCCGAGTGACTACTCGTGCGAGTGGCCATTCAGGAGAGTGTGATGTATCATTGGAGCAGGCTCTGTGACCCAATTGTATATTGGGTCGACGGCAGAAACTGTACATCGTCGTGAATTGTACCGCAGGCGAAAGTTTCTTCAATTATGTCGTGACAGGATTGAATATTTTGAACCAGCGTTGAAGGTCTGGGCCTCCCAGGGTGATGTCTATCGCGGCATAGGCGTTGTGCTATGTCAAGTCACAGACGCCTTGGACAGGATTGCTTGGGAAGCCAAGTACATTCGTGACTATCAGCCAGCGCTTGATGCACCATGGGTAGGACAACTTTTGAGCAAACTTCGACTTCATGAACGCAGGCTTAAATTATCAGCTGCAGGTGCAGGCAAACGCATTGTGGACAGAGCTCGCCGACATGCTCGGTACAGGTGTGGGGTTTCCACCTACCATGTCCAGTCGAATGACGTTTTTCAGTCTCTGTGCAGGTTGGGTTCCAATTCTCAGCAGAAGTTTTTTGAAGCCAAACAAGTCCGATCCCGTCAGACTGAACTAAGCCAGCTGTATCTTCGGTTTCGTCTACTGAGTCTTCTGAAGTTCGTTTCGGAGCCTTGGAAGACCAGGGCCAACAATCAACTAGGTTTGGCAATTGAGTATCGTCAAGGTCATCCTCCGACCGTGAATCATCCTTTGATACCCTCTCCCTTGTCACATGATCTCCGACATGAAGTTCAGGTGTTGATTCGGAATTTGACCTGCGCAGAACGGTGCAATTTCCCACCTCTGCACGCGCCTTCGACGAAAATGGTGTATCAAAAGGGCCAACAGCTCGCTACCCAAGTGTTCAACTATAGTAACTATAGAACCTTTATGCGACGTTGGACCAGCACACAGACGCTTCGAGGTACCTGTCGTCAGCTCGCTGAGATTTATCCACAAGCTGTCAGGACGAGTGATCACATTTTGTATGCAGACAAGGTCATTGCTCCGAAGTCTGACTTAGCATATGCCAATCTGTCTGACACCATGTTTCACTCGAAGGATGCATGGATCAGCTCTGCTACTACAGCGTTGGAAGGCTGGAGGAAACGCTGGCGACTACCTCTACGCATTAAACCTGTCTTGCAGACTTGGATTCAGCAACGGTGGCTACAGCGTATGCGTCCTTATCAGGAACAGACAGACCCACGTTGGACACCGCAGGGAGTTAAGCGTGCTTTGCGACCTTTTCACAGTTTGATTCGAGGTCCAGCAGATCACTTTCCGAACTCGCTCTTTGTGTCATGTCCAGTGCATTATCATGAACTTTTGCTCCGCACGTTCGGTGATCAGAAAGTATTCCGCATCTGCAGGAGTGGCACTGTGTCCATTTACAGCATTTTCGCCAGGAGTTCGAGAAGCATCGCTGGAATCTTAGGGTGTGTCGATGGACCTTTCAGTGGTAGCATGGTTTGCCCGCGGCCAGGATCTTACCGAAAGAATCCACTCTGTCTCTCTGTCTCTCTGTCTCTCTCTCTCTGTCTCTCTCTGTCTCTCTCTGTCTCTCTCTCTGTCTCTCTCTCTGTCTCTCTCTCTGTCTCTCTCTGTCTCTCTCTCTCTGTCTCTCTCTCTGTCTCTCTCTCTCTCTGTCTCTCTCTCTGTCTCTCTCTCTGTCTCTCTCTCTCTCTGTCTCTCTCTCTGTCTCTCTCTCTGTCTCTCTCTGTCTCTCTCTGCCTCTCTCTGTCGCTCTCTGTCTCTCTCTGTCTCTGTCTCTGTCTCTGTCTCTGTCTCTGTCTCTGTCTCTGTCTCTGTCTCTCTCTGTCTCTCTCTGTCTCTCTCTGTCGCTCTCTGTCGCTCTCTGTCGCTCTCTGTCGCTCTCTGTCGCTCTCTGTCGCTCTCTGTCGCTCTCTGTCGCTCTCTGTCGCTCTCTGTCGCTCGCTGTCGCTCTCTGTCGCTCTCTGTCGCTCTCTGTCGCTCTCTGTCGCTCTCTGTCGCTCTCTGTCTCTCTCTGTCTCTCTCTGTCTCTCTCTGTCTCTCTCTGTCTCTCTCTGTCTCTCTCTCTGTCTCTCTCTCTGTCTCTCTCTCTCTGTCTCTCTCTCTCTGTCTCTCTCTCTCTGTCTCTCTCTCTCTGTGTCTCTCTCTCTCTCTCTCTCTCTCTCTCTCTCTCACTCTCTCACAACAGGCATTTTCATGTTGCCAGTCCATGTTGCAATGCTTAATGCTTGATTGCTTGCCACGGAGATTCTAACGTGCTCGAGCTAGTTTGTCAGCCATAGCAGGATGCCCAGCTCATATTAAGAGACCATGCCTAGCAGGTATGATTTTGCTCAGATGTTCAACGCGGGTCTAGAAAGTTGCTCGGAGTCAATATACAATGACGACAACAAGGAGGAATGGGAACCACCGAGTTCGACAGGACTTGGATCACCCAGTGCATGTCAGGAAACTCAGTCAGATCCAGATTCAGCATACATCGAAGATGACTTTGAAGACATTCCACCTTCGAGTTCGCATATATTCCTTCACCATGTCGTGCACCAGAAATTCCACCTGAATCAGTGCAGGTCAAGAAGAAGCGCCGTTTGCGCATGATGGATGAAGACTCTGAAGGTGTTAGGGTTAAGATTCTCCCGAACCCCAAGCGTCGTTTCACGCAAAGTATGCAGGAGACACAGGTGTTGGGTGACGATTCTACATTTGCAATCGTGCTTCGCTGATACTTAACTTCCTTCAGAAACATGGCAATCGCTTGATACAGGAAAAGCCGGCACGTAAAAAGCGGTTTTCCGGCACATTAGCTTTAATGCAACATGTCCTGAAAAAATCAGGGACATCTTCATTTGGACACTGACCGAATCGATCTGCTCAGGAATTTCAGTGAAAGAGATGCCGTGGAGTTCATTTCGTCAGAATGTGTGCAATATCTAAATTTGACCTCTGAGTTCAGTGCGTGCATTTCAGTGACAACATCTCTCGATCAGGATCGTGTCCCCTCGAAAAAGGGGTGCGTGTGCGTGCACCGTGATTCTAAGCGAAGAGTTTTTGTGTGTTCGCAATTTTTTTGCAGCAAGTGGTCTGGCGCTCACAGACAGGAATCAGGCCAACGAAAACGCCTGTCTGTTGAGTGTGCCGCGATCCTGGGACGCTGGGATCACGTACCTGCTTTTTCATCGTATGGCAACAGGCAAAGCCGAGAACCTGACAGTGCTATGCAGTAACTTCGCGTGAGTGTCGACTTTGCCAGGTTAAACACGTAGGTAGCCTCTCACTGTCCTCAAGATCGTCCTTGGAATCGAATAGTGGCGGAAACCGATATACGAAACATTTACCATTCTCCGTGTGTGTGTGTGTGTGTGCGCGCGTGTGCGCACGAGTGCGTGCGTGCTCGTGCATGTATTTTGAACGGAGTCTTCCTTCTCGGCAAAGCAACTGACAGGAAGCCTTTGAAGAAGAAAACTTCGATTGCGCCGAAAGTTGCAAAGAAAAAGTCTGCGGCGTGACACGGCCATGACAGGTCCTGGGTACATGCGCATCCTTACGTCTCCAAGAGACGGCAGGACAAGCATGCTAATAGTTTCAGAGGCACAGCCCTAACGCCTGGAGCAAGATGCTCTGGACGGTGTTGAGAAGACTCAACGAAGCTCAAAAGCAGACCCCATGCGTCACTTCGTAGTGTAGTCGGCCAACCTGCGTCGGTTCAGCTGCTCGCACTGCTAAGTCATCGCCAGCACAACAGTATCTGCTCAGAAACTTTTCCCAAATCGTTTTAAGCTGCACTCTGGTAAACTTGCGGTTGCCGTGCAACACTGAGCTTCGAGCCTCTTCAGCCACATCAATTTCGTGACATGCTTGCTCGAATGAGATCTAGGCTTAGGCATTGATTGATGTTGATGGTGCCAGTCTGAAGGCCTTAACATGCTTTAACGATCCGTAAACGGCTTGACCTCGCGGCCTTCCCTCAACATCCATGTCCCACTCCGCCGCGGAAGCGTTGCAGAGTGCCGGCTGCGATTACTGGGAGCAGTTTCTACAACGGAGATTTTCAATCGGTCCCGCTGCGGTTTCTGACTTCTCAAGGAATGCGCGGGCTGCTTTGCGAGAGGAGCGCTTTTTCGATGGTGTCCAGCTTGTGAACGCGGCCCTTGAGGCGACCCCCCAGCCGTTGTCTGGGTTTTCATTTCCACGCGTATCGTCGAACATACGGTTGGAGGCTCAAGGACAAACCCTTGGTGGCACCAAAGGAGGCTATTCAGCAACTCCGGCCTGGGACCTAAGACCTAAGTCGATGTGTGTGGGGAAAGGTAGACTCTTGGCAAAGTCGTGTTTAGGCTTCTACCGAAGCAGATGGCACAGAAATCCTTCGGACTCCAGCAGCTGGCCAAGAAGTGCAGATGTTGCATCGCTTTGCTTCATTGCTTCTTGCTGCTTCATGCTCTCAGGAGGTCTTCCTCAATCGGGCCCGGCTCTTGAAACTCTGGCCTTCTCGACGGTGTGTGGCTTTGGTCTCAGAGGTGATGACAACCTTGACGGCTGCAAAGAAGAAAGAGCTGGCCGACTTCTTCACCGTCCGCACCGTGCGCGGCTCGGGCGAGCGCTCTGGGCTCTGCCCACTCTCGCTGCCCCTCTCCGCACCTTAGGCAGCTTCGGTTCTTTGATGTTTTTCAGCCTTCGCTTTGAAGGACCTGCTCGTTGGCCTTGGTGCGCTCAAACGAGCAGTGGTGGATGTCAGCGCTGCTTTGCTTCCCGACAGAATCTGCTGGTCAATGTTTTCTGCCGGAAAGAATGGCATGTACAGCATGCTGCTATTTAGTCAATGCTAGTCTGCCAGTATCTGCCAGTACATCAGTTACTGCTGGCTGCAGCCACGCGATCCCCGAAGTGTTGAGTGTGGCAAGGCTGCTCCGGCCGGAAGATGAAGCTCTGGCCAAGAAGAAGACTGATCTGGAGGGTGCGGGAATCTTTCGCGCATTGCAAGCCCTTGCGCTTGTCCTGACAGTGCCAGCGCGTAGGGCGACTTGCTGGAGACACGGGTCTCGGAACCGCCACAAAGCCAGAGTCCAAGCTTCCTGCAGTGATGTGGCCATGTCAATGTGGCTTTGTAGATAGATCTCTGCATTATTGGATCAGGTTGAACTTGTTTCCTGGGTTGGCTTTCGGGCTTTAGCACTCCGAACCTGCAACTCCGACAAAACTCACCGAAAGTGTCAAGAGCTGAAGTCGGCTGCTGTGGGTGCTGGCTTGGATCAAAAGTACCAGATAGAGAACAAAAACGGTTGGCGCCACTACTTCTACCACCAGTGCAGCCATACTTAGGAAGCAGGGTAGCTTCGGCATGGTAAGTGACCAGCTAGTCTTCGCTTTTTGCTTTGCAAGGGTGTGCACATCTGCTTCAGCACTTCGCAACGGCGCCAACTTGTTCGGACAAGGACTCCCACAAGCATCATCACCGGCTTTCTCGGTGCAGGCAAGCTCGGTTCTTAGTCGTCCTGGTGGCTGCGCAGATTTGTAGGTTTCGCTCGTGCCGTTCCCTAATTTGGTCGAATTGCATCATGTATCCCGAGGACAACCCTCCTGAACTACATTCTGGAGCAGAACCATGGAAAGAAAATTGCAATCATAGAAAACGAGTTCGGCGAGGTGCGGTGTCAATTGCCGTTCTTCCCTGCTTTTGGCATGTGGACGGTGGCATCACCTTCCGAGTTGCATCGCCAGGTAGGGATAGATGATGCATTGTTGAACACCAAGACCGCTGTGACAGAGGAGTCACCAGTAGTGGGCTGATATTACCACGACAGACGGTATTCTTGAATCGTTTCCCAGGAGAACGTGATTGAGATGAACAATGGTTGCATTTGCTGCACCGTCCGGGGGGATTTGATTGCAGGGCTGAAGAAGCTACACAAGCAAACCACCGGCAAGGCCGGGCCGAGCGTAAAGCTGCCGGTTTGTCACCGTAGGGCTGTGTCATGCTGTGTCACTTTGTCAGGGCAAGCCTTTGGATGGGATCATCATTGAGACCACGGGCCTGGCAGATCCAGCTCCCGTGGCTCAGACCTTCTTTGCCGACGATTTCGCTCGTGCCCCAGCGCAAGAGACCATGCTCGTGAGAGTGGGACGTCAGTCAGGTGAGTGCCAACATGGTGCTCGATGGCATCCTGACGGTCGTAGACTGCAAGCACATCATCGGACAATTGCAGGAGGAGCAGCGGAGCTCTCCACAGCCGAGACACTCTTCTCGGCCCGACACAGGACAAGCCAGAAGGGGCGGTGAACGAGGCTGTGGAGCAGGCCTGACTCCAGCTCTCCTGCTTTGGAGCCTTCGACTCTGGTCACTGAGATCGCATTTGCAGACCGGATTCTGCTAAACAAGCTCCGGCCTCGGGCATGGTTTCGACATGGAGACCTGTGTTATCTTCGTTGCCAGGACAGACCTGGTGAGTGATGCGGAGCTCGACGAGGTCCAGCGAGAGGTACGAAGAATCAACAAGACAGCCGCAATGAAAAGGACAGCTCTTGCAAACCCGGTGTAGTTCAGAAAGGATGGGAAGGGCGCTCAGAAGCCATTTTCAAGACTCAAGACAAAGGAGGTGCATCAACAGCCCAAGTTTTTTTGTTTTTTTTTAGGGTCCAGGTCTGCGTCTGCGGTCTGCGTGAAACGGTATGAAACTCTCGCGAAGGGTTATTGAGAACCGTGTTCTCGTTGAAAATAACCAGGTCCGCCTAGCCATATGGGTTGCAGGACAAGGTTCTGCTGCTTCCGAAGACTGTGCTTGCTCCATCAAAGCTCTTCGGTCTGTGGCCGTCCCCACGGTACCTTACAGCTGTACGGGGCTCTGCTTCATCTCGCTTCGCCTGCTGGCCCATGCCCCGTCCGCTGAAGCATCCTTCGGCTTGTGCCCATGGAGTGTCGCTTGTCATCACACGTGTCGCCTTTCTGAACGCTTAGATGCATCGTTGCAGGACAAAGAACTCCCAAGTCGACATGGATTTTATTCTTGGCATTGAGGCGGGCTGCTTCCCGGAGACGGCACAGCAGTTGCTTGAATAGCCGAAGGCCTTCTCCCTGGAGCGGATCCTCATGCAGGTGGACCGAGTCGGTTTCATGTTGCGTGCGGCATCAATGATTTCACCTTGTCCGTCTTTCAGTCAGTGCATCAGTTCTGTGCAGAAGCGCGTTGAACATCCATCGGCACGATCCGCATAATCTGTTGTGGTGCTGGTGAAGATTTGCAGCAAAGAGGTCAGAGTGAGCACGCTGAACACAGGGCTTTTGTAGGGTTTGCGGGGTTTGCGAAATCTTGTGGAACGTCAGTCAATGCTGCGAAATTGGCATGAAGTATGCTGAGCGACCTTCGATGGACGGTAAGGGGTAAGGGACGGAGTTGCTGCAGTTCCTTGTCCAAGCATTGCGCAGCTGGGGCTGCCATGATCCGCGGAGTGCCGTGAATGCCTATGCGCGGCCTTTCCCTTCTGGATCCAAATGCTTGTCTTCGCGCGGACGGTAGAAATGCAGGTGAGTCAAGGAAATCTGGAGGAGGAGCTTGCTGTTGCTGGAGAGCAAGTGCTGTCGAAGGTGCTGCATAGCGGCAGCACAGCATGCAGGAAGAAAGTGGCCACGGCCAAGGCGGCCATGGCGGCCATGGCCATCATGGACCCGACGAAGAAGGCAGTCTTGTCTCGCAGTTCACAGTTTGGAAGCCGCGGGTTAGCTGCGAGATGAGCTCCTTTTGAGTAGATGCAGATTAGCTAATTGTAAAGTGGGAAGGCCATGACCATCATGATCATGATGGTCACTGCTGCCACGAAGACCATGGTGCAGGCCAGGCAGCTGAGTAACCCGCAGTTGCTGACTTTTGGGACTTGAGCGGTTGCTTCTTGCTTGGTCTGAGCCCACCAAAACCGTTGCTCAGGGTGCGGCCATGAGCATGCTGGACATGGTGAGCATGCCGGTCGTAAGCCTTAGCCGGGCTCAGCAATGTCCCAATTGATGGCCCGTAACATGAGGCCACCATGCGCACGAGCACAACGGCGAGGTGCAAACCCCCGACCGGAGGTAGAAGGGCAGACCGGACAAGTGCCCCGGGAACTTCGGTCCGGCCCGCGAGGCGTGTGACCATCCCTCCCATCGGAAGCGGCACGACTACAGGGCCCGTGCCCGTTTGTCTGTGCTTTGCCTGCAGAGGCCTCTTGGAACTGCCGAGGTCAGCTCTGTTGGCATTCAGCGGGACCGCGAAGTCGTGAAAGACAAGCTGCTTGACTCAGCCTTGCATCATCTCTTGGTCGTTCCATGCTGCTCCACACGAGGCTTGACAAATTCATCGGCTGGCTGATACAGCAGAAGGGTCCCGACTTGTACCGTTCCAAGGGAGCCGCATCCTCAGAGTGGAGGAGATCGGCGGCGTCCGGCATCCCATGTGTGAGCAGGTCCTAGCGGTGCAGGGCCTGCAGCAGAAGTTCGTATTCCATGCCGTGCACATGCAGTGCCTGGCTGTTGTAAGATGTGCACTTGCGTGAGGATGCAGAAGCAGCATGTTGTGCACGCGGGAGGTTCAGCGGCAAACCTCAGGAAGCTTGGAGGGAAGACGAGAAGAGGTGCCCGCAGTGCTCTTGCAGGATGATCTCCCCGCAGCCCAGCGAGAGGTGCTGCAAAATGGTCTTCATTGGAAAGAACATGGATCGTGAAGAGTTGAACAAGAAATTCGACGAATGCCTTGCGTGAAGTGCGGGAATCACTCATTCGATTGCTCGGAGCAGAGCGATTTTCTGAATTCAGGTGGAGGGGCTTTAACAAGGCTGGTAGCAGGCAAGCCAAGAGGCTCCTGTGATCATAAGCCTCATTTAACAGACAGGTTTCTGCACTCCAACACAGACTCATCGCCTTCAATTTCTCCAAGCCGTAATATTATCAAGCCTTCGACACGTGATCCACGACTGCAGCAGATGCCGATGTGAGGGGTGAACTCGTGCAGCAAGGTAAAGCCAAGCTGCGGTGTCTGCCCAATTCTAGAGTGGCAGTGAGCCCACATACCTGTCGCTTCAGGAAAAGGCTCGACTGATGTGTGCCAGAGATTAAGCTCGCTCGAAACCGACATAAGGCTTGCAGCGGACATGGCAGTGTAGACACAAACACTACAGGATGAAGGCAAAGAAAGGTGTTATGACGGGCCTGGCGCATTAAGACGCCGGATTGTCAGCTCCGCTGAGTCTAGTTTGCGGGCCTTGCCAGTCTGAAGTCTGATCGCACGAGCACTGTGGGCCAAGCCTGCCTGACGCTTGTGGGTGTAGAGAGCCGTTATTTACTCGCAGGTTGGATTAGCTTTGGGGTGACATGTATATGCCAAGTGTAACGTAAAGATGAAGCTACTCGTACAACATGGCTACATAGTTGGCTAAATGCAGCTTCGCTTGTACCGAGCCAGCGTGGGTACGTCGCCGGCTGCATTGTGGAATGACGTGCGCCGGTCTGAGATTTTGATCTCTTAGTTTGGACCACAGCGGAGCTATCGACTCGGATGAGGTCGGGCGAGCTCGGCGAATGTCACAGGTGCCGTCCGAAGCACATGTGGAGGCTCCGGCCGAGGCACACAAACCCTTGCTGCAACATCTGTTGGCTAGTTATGTATGCTCTTCTCGCTGCACGGGAGTGGAAGTGCCCGCCAAAGATGCTCATGGTATGCGGCAAACCTTTACGGAAATCCGCTCTCTGCAAATTCTGCTATCCAGCTTCTTTTGTCTGTTTTATTTATCTTTGTTCCTAAACTTCAAGATCAACCAAGACAATTCGATTCAAAGGTTGGGTTCCGTTTGGGAAGAAGTTCTTTGAATTCTTATAGGGTCAGGTTGCTAAGCGGCTTAGCGCAGGCACCACTCCCCTGGTGCGCAGTGCTGGACCATGGGGCGGGGCTCAAAGAGGCGCCGGCGCATGCCGGCTCGGTTTGTCCGCTCTGATGCAGATCTGATGCGGATGCGCAGTTCACACAGGGCTCACGCCCGCCCCCGCGCTTCTCTCTTTCTCCAGTTCAACAGGTCACGGTCATCAAAGCCATCGAGGCACGGTAGCTCCCTCTTCACATGCTGTCATCTAGCCGAGTGCACAGGAGTATCTTGCTTATCACCGAATGCAGGACCGCAAATGCACCAGTCCTTATTCCCTTCTACTTTTCCTGCTGAACTTGCAAGCCTTCCTGGCCAGGAGCCCCTAGATGCCTTTCAGAGAGATGTCGAGCGCCAGCCACCTAGCTTCGGAGAGCCGTGGCGGCTCAGATGTTCCGAAACTTGCTGCTGAGGTGTGGGCCTCCTGCGCACGCCAAACACCGCTTTGAATGCAATGCGAGAAGTAGAGGACGGCAGGTCAGAAGCCCCGACGACTGTGAGCTGTACTGTACAGATCCTGTTGGGTCTCTCAATTTCTCCCGGCTAACACCAACGTTGAGGCAGTGCGCATGCTAGTCGCTCTTTCCAAAGTGTTCCAGGACGTCCTTTGCAGCCTCGATGCCGGCGACCAGGAGACCTTCAGGCAAGGGCGAGTGCCACAGCATCAGGAGCAAGATTCAACATCTGCTCTTCCCAACCCGACTCCTGGATCGTTTGGGAGTCAGCTCTCGTTGCAGTTCTGCATGGAGTCGCATCATGCCGACCTCGTACCACGAAACTGCCAACGCCTTGCAGCTCCGACTTCAGGCCATTTCAGCGACTGCATAGAGATCAGACACGGGGTCTTTCCTTGGATTTTATGCAGGCCAACTTCGCTATTCACGGTGCAAGGCTGGCCCTCCAGGAGCCTCTGGAGTGATCAGCCGAAAAAGCCGGACCATGTCACATGACGCAGCCAGGACGGCCGCGAGCCCGATGCAGCGAAGATGCAAGAGGAGACCCGCGCAGCTGAGGATTTCCTGTGCTTTTCAATTCCAGAAGATCGGGCTGCTTCAGACTCATTCGCATTGATTGCCTCAGTTCCCTTTCCTGCCTGACCCATGTCGTGATGGGATTGGGAGGTGAGGGCAACGATGTGGACACATCCTGTAGCCAATGAGAGAGGATCTGAAGCCTTTCCTGGCATTCCTGAACGAGCGCGGTTCGGATGAGGTGGGACGTGTGGGCACCGATTTTGACGTGAATTGACGTGTCCATCTGCGCGGAGATGAGCGGAGATGAGACCCTGATGCCGCTCTTCGCGCTTCCTTTTGTTCAGCAGCTCATCGGCACAGTGGGACTCACAAAAAAGGCTACTTGTTCAGAGACAGAGGATGCCAAAGCGAGTTCGACCTTCCGCATTCAGTGTCCCGACACAGTGTCGCTGTCGTCTTGAGGGTCCCTGTCAGACCGATTCTTCTTCAATGGTAATGCTGTAATCTTCGATGTCCGAGCACAGCCTCCCGGACCAGGCGACCTCATGCACATCCAGATGTCCGCGAGGCAGGAGCAAATCATCGGTAGACATCATCAGTGCTGTCGAGTGCACTTGCAGGTCTTCTCTCCGGAGTGGTTCCAAGAGCTTCGAAGGGACGTGGAGGACCGCCGGTGACGGCACCGCTCTCCGCCGCGACGGGCTTTTTCTTCTGAAGGCTGCTCTTCGCCTGCGACAGCCGATCCCACGAATCTACGACATCCTCGAGTGCGGCCCTCACCTGTGCATCGCTTAAGGACCCGTCCTGTGCCCCCTTCAGGCACTCATCCACCGAGAACGGCAAGCGTTCGTGGCAGGACTTTTGGGCCACGATTGTGTATATACCAGCATACAGTATCGCAGCGTCGCCTCTGCATCTTCGGTCGCTTCCTTTTGCCAGTCCGTGTGGGCAGAGTTGCTGCGGCTTGCTGATGCGAGTCTCGATGCCATGGTGCTGTCTCAGGCTGAGTCTGAGTATACAGTATACCAGGCGCACAGGCACCGGCATCGGACTCCCCAAGTGCCACCCGTACCCTCAGCCGAGGCTGTCACAAGGAACTCCTGCACCACCGGTTCTTGCAACAGCTTCGCAGCTGAATTTCCAATCTTTGTTGGCACTTCGCAGCTCGGGAGGGTCCGAAGAGTAGATCGATTCAACGAGTTATGCTGGCGAAGCAATGCCGGAACATGATGGATGTGGTGACGTGCAAGAGCTGCAGATCGCGGTGATGTCATGGTCGAGTTAAGGCCAGACAACAACTTGAATTGCTTCGCGAACACATTCCAAGAGGCAGCCCGAGTTCTGAAAAGCACGGACTCCAACCGTTGATGCGGTTTAACAGACTCGCGACGCACACAGTGCTTCTTCTCAGATGGTCACAGCCACAGTTCTTGCTTGAGCACAGGTTTGGAACTGCAGCTCAAGTCGCACTTCGAAAGGCAACGGTTTGTATCGCAGAATGAGCTATCATGGGTTTGGAGAATCGCAAGAGGGCATTGTGCCATAACGGCAAGCCGGTAGCCATGCTGGAAAGCATCTCAGCCTCCTCGAAGTCTGAGCTTCAACTCTCCTTTCTTGGCCCTCTCTTCTTTTGGTTGAATCTTTGGGGCTAGGGCTTCTGAGAACCAATGAAGACGCTCCATGGCCCTGGGTTTACCGAAATCACAAACGCTAGAATTTCACTGCCTTCAAATCCGCGCGGTTTTGGGTTTCTAGTTGCTGCACCGAAGCCCCCCCCGCCCCCGCCCCCGCCCCGACAGGGAGTTTTGACACATCAACCCCAGTGACGGTCTGAAGCTGTGCCGGCCAACAACAGCCAGGTTGAACATGGCAACAAGGCAACGCTGAATTGTCCTGTACGATTACCCCCAAGCTGTGCAACGCTTGTCCTGTACATTCGATTACCCCCAAGCTGTGACAGTTGCTCGAAAATCCCAGGAGCGAGATGGTGCGATGCCCTAAGCCCTCGATGCAGAGCAGGAACCCCGAGGACCCAGACCCAAACGGAGAGATGCGGAAGGTCTTTGATTGCCAAAACTTGTTCTCGTCATTCCGACAGTCACTTGATGGCCTGATAACATGTCCTTGCTCAAGATCGTTTTGATGGTTGCTCAAACCGCGAGCGGTGTGTCATCTAGTCATCTAGTCCAGGTCCAAGTCCAAAACGGATACACGGGTATGTTGTATTGAGCTACCGCCCGACTTCCCATTTGGAGGGAAATCCTCGGGCAAGCTTTGGCTGACGAGTTCCAACCAACAATTCCCAAGCCCAAGTTCGGGACTCACTTGGGAGACCAAGGTTGTCGAAGCAAGGTTGTTTCTCAAAGCTCATGGCCGCAGGGCATATCATGTCAAGGCCAAGTCTCCCTCACAGGACTCTGCGAGAGGATTAGACAACCCCAAACATCTGCTGTCAGTCTGACAGAGTGCCATTCATGCGCTTGGGTGTTTGGGCGTGTCCAGGCCTGGCGCTTGTCCCATGAGCCCTGCTCGCAGTCGAGCGGCCACGGCGCGGCCACAGCTGGCACACCGGTGAGGGGCCGGAGAGAATCAGAGATCTGACAACTCTTGAATCGGAAGGGTGGTTTCTGAGGATTGACTTTGGCGCCTTGAAGCGCTTCCTCTGCGCATCGCCACAGGAGCTTTGTGCCAGTGCAGAATTTTACTCATCTTCCTGTGCGAAGGGTTGCAGATTTGTGCAACCGAGGGATCGAAGGAGGGAGCTTCAGACAAGTGCCGTCATAGTCTGTACCGTATTTCTGGGGACTGGGCCTCGAGGAGCGCCGAGAAGCCTTCGGCGAGGTTGCCTTGCCACAGGTGCTGCGTGCCCTCCTCCAACGGCCAGAGCCTTAGGAGCAATCAGGTCTGAGGCCGGTGGCCAGCCTGGCCACCGGCCTCGCGGTTTCTGTGCTGTAGGGATTTAACGATGGCAAGCCATGACGCCGGTGAGACAACACGACTCAGGGCTTGAGGTGGAGCGAGGGCGGTGATTTGAGTGAGGGGCCAGGACTTGTGGTGCGCTAGTGGGTGATCTGCGGACGAATCATGAGAAGACCAGGGTCTCAATCCACAGATACTGGAAAATGTCGTGAACTTGCCCTTCCTGATCACGGAAACGACTGCACAATGATCTATGTTTCAAGACGGTGCGGACATGGAGGTCGAGCTGGGGCAGAGGTGTGACTGCGTGATCCAGCGCACTGCGCACGAACAGAAGCAAGGGTTTAGTTCGGGCAGCAGAGCATCGCAGAGCCTGGCAGAGCCTAGGGCAGCAGAGCCGAGGCTGGCTTCAGAGTCGCCACTCCCCCAGCGCCGCGGTTTTCTGGTCGCGATCACGTGCTTCGACGTGCTCGGTGTGGCTCGGCGGAGTATTCGCATTTCGCATGGTGGAGACTGCGACGGCCCACGGCGATAGGTGCGTGACCAGCCAGCCGCTTTGCCTGCTCTTTTGGAGGAGGTCTCAGAGTTGACGTGCATCGCTCAGGGGCAGGGGCCGAAAGAAGTGCATTGGCTCATTGGCTACGAGGGGTTCAAAAGTCTAAGGCTTGGCATTCTGGCGGTGCTCGCCTGCGAAGCCCGCGCCTTGAGCGCCTTGAGCCTGAACCTGAGTCACAGCGAAGACGGTCCAAGCCCGAGCGAGGCAGTTGGGCGGAGCTACATCGTTTCCAGCGGCGCTAGTGTGAGGAGGCCCCCGTCCCCGAAACGTGGGGCATTGGGGGGAGCGCTTCCGGAGCCGCCGCTTGCACCAGAATGGTGGAGCTGCTGAAGTCGAAGCCGCTGGCAAGCCGGCTCAGAGAGGAAACTGCGAGTGCGAGCGAGTGCGAGCCCGAGCGGCCCGAGCTCTGAGGATTCCTCCATCCACATCCAGGTTCTCGCTGCCATGCAGCGTCTTTCTCTTCGAAGGTCTGCGCAGGAGCTGAACTGAGGGGGCCTGCAGAATCACGCCTGCGCATGCCAGTGCGTGTCCGCCTCGTTGATCTAGATGCGTCGTGGAGCACATTGCCCGTAGGATCGCATGATTGAGATGGGCATGGTCGAATGGGCTGCTGGGCGATTTTTGTTCGGGGTGACGCCTTGTCATGTCACATCGTGTGAAGCCTGCGGTCATCTGCAGCCTTCATGTCCAGAAGGCGATCGGCGTGCTTTCCTCCCACGAAGAGGTTTCGGGTTTCGATGAGTGGAGCGAACTTGCCGAACAAAGCTGTGATGAGCGTCCGGAGCACCGCACAGGGCGCCTCTCGCGCTCCCTCCGAGTTCTCTCTGGAATTTGGGTCGGCCATGCTTATGGCACCTGGCTTGCATGAGCACTACGTAAAGCACTAGAAACTGGAAGGGTTGTTGAGTTTCTTGTGTGTGCGACAGAACCTGGCCCTTCGCTCGACCGGGAAGCGCAAGTGCCTGGAGCAAGATGTTCTGCCGATGGCAATGAAGCTTATGGAGTGCCTTGCCAGCCTGAATTGCGTTGTCATACCTCCGGTTCTGCAGGAGAGTAAGCAACCTGTGAGATCAATCAGCTGATCTGAAGTCTTGTTGTATTTGCTCACAACAAATCGTCGATGCTGCCTTGAGGCATTGGAATCCGCAGATCAGGAGTATGTGCGGGTGCTTGCCTAGTAGACAGCGTGCAGCCTGCAGTGACAGCCCACCTCCACTACACGTATCGGCCCCCCATCCACTTCACTTACCTGAGTTCATCTCAGTTTCTTGAATCGGGTCTTCACGTCGCATGCACAAATATCATGTTCTTTGACTGCAGGGTTTAGCTCTTGAGTTCCAACTTCTCGCCGAAGGACCCACATCAACGGGACGCTCCACGGTGGCAAATGAGACTGAGATGCCAATGTTGATGAAATTTTCACTCTTGTCATTTTTCGTGCATTCGAGGCTGTACTCGCTGCTGTCACTTCCGGAATTCCGCCAGTCCGCTCGCCGTGAGGGATTGGAGCTAGCACTTCGATCAATTCATCGCCAGGCGACTGTGTTTTAGCCCAAACAGATGAAAAGCCGGACTTGCAACCATGATCATGAGCAAAGTGGTGTAGCCAGAGGCAAGCAGCCTTGGCGATGAGATCGCGGTTCGGCAGATCCTTGGTACAAACACGGTGACGACAGCCTGCCTCGTTACCTACCCTGAAGTAGGGTTGCTGGATACCAGCACACCACCAGCACCCACCAGCACCACCAGCACCACCACCACTACCACCACCAGCAAGAGCAAGAGCAAGAGCAAGAGCAAGAGCAAGAGCAAGAGCAAGAGCAAGAGCAAGAGCAAGAGCAAGAGCAAGAGCAAGAGCAAGAGCAAGAGCACTGGCACCAGCAGCAGCAGCAGCAGCAGCCCCGCCACCCCCACCAAGAACAAGAGCAAGCGCAAGCGCACCGGCACCGGCACCGGCACCAGCACCAGCAGCAGCAAAAGCATCGGCAATGCAGCGGCAGCAGAAGCAGCAGCAACAACAACAACAACAAGAGCCACAGCCACAGGCACAGCAACAGGCAGAGCAACGGCAACAGCAACAGCAGCAACAGCAGCAACAGCAGCAACAGCAGCAACAGCAGCAACAGCAGCAACAGCAGCAACAGCAGCAACAGCAGCAACAGCAGCAACAGCAGCAACAGCAGCAACAGCAGCAACAGCAGCAACAGCAGCAACAGCAACAGATACGACCAGGAAGGAGGCACGTTGGCCACCGCTAAGGGCGCGTCGTTCGTTTTTGTTCAGCATTTTTTCTGAAAGTTGTCAAAGCCTCGAGGTTTTGTTAGACAAAACGTTTGGTTTTCTGTTTTGATTGTAAGCTCAGCAAAGCCGTACAACACCGAAGACCAAGGCCCACGTTTGGTTTTCCATGGTTTAGTTTCGTTTTTTATGCAGTAAGCCTCGTAAATACCTTGGTGTTCGTCGTTTTTCTTGCTTGAGTTTTGGATCTGTTATCAGCCTTCAGTACCCCCCCCCCCCCCATCCCCACCCCTGCACGGAAGGAAACAGCAAAACACTACGGACATGATCCGCATTGCCATGGACGGTTTCATTCAAGCTTTACCACCCCCACACCCCATCCACCCTCCCCACCTGCAGGCAAGGAAACAGAAGAACATTAATTACAGACACAATCTGCATTGCCAATGACGTTATCCCCGCCCCCACCCCCATCCCCCCACCTCTGCACAGAAGCAGCAAGGAAAAGACAAAGGACAACACACACGAAGAAAAAAGCAGCCGACTTGCAAGCAAAAAGTGCAAGCAGAGAAGGCATGGATCACTGTAAATGCCGATACAAGAGGCATGCGACTCTGCAACCAAAACCTAGGGCGTTTAGTTTTTGTCCAGGCGCTGTAAACTACCGAATAAAAGGCAAATCGCAATTGTTTGGTCTAAACTGCAATGTGTCAAAACTCGCGAGTTTTGGCACATTGCAGCCCGGAAATCGCCGCACCCTCCGCGGCGGCATATCGCCACCTGCCAACAACAACAACAACAGCAATAGCAACAGCAGCAACAGCAACAGCAACACCAACACCGGTACTGTAGCAGCAGCAACAACAACAACAAGGTACATGAAGAAGAGCAAGGGCACCAGCAACACAGTCAGAGTCGGTATAAGACTAATCATAACTATGAGTACAAGCGTAAGTATAGGCAGAAGTAGAAGTGGAGGTAGAAGTATAAGAGTCTATTATAAGAGTATAAGTTTTAGCGTAAAAGGAAGTATAAGTATGAGTATATGTATGAGTCTGAGTATGGGCATGAGTATGAGTATGACCGTGAGTATAAGAATAAAAAGCCAGAGCAATAAGAATAAGCAGAGGAGGAAGAAGAGGAATAATAACAGTAGCAGCATCAACATTCGTTTCAACATCGACGACATCAAAGACAGCAGCAGCTCGCGACCACGACCACATCCCCGACTAGCACCACAATCGCGACACGCCACCCACAGCTCAGTACCTGCAATTCCCGAAGATCCCGCAGACCCCTCAGCCGCAGGGTTCGAGAAGCCCCTGCAAAAGCCACACCGCACACCCCCGCCGCAGACCAAGAATCTGTTGTGTCAGCAGTCCAAGCCCCGGGGCAGGGGCGTGTGTTGGACGATTGCGCTATGAGGCATCAACGTGTGCACGAACACATGCATCAACCCAATCCAACACCTTCCTGGTCGCAATTAGGGGATTTGCATTTAAAGATTGCGTCAAAAGGATGCTGAGAGTCGGGGGGCGGGGGCCGCAAGTAAGAAGTTGTGTTCCCGATTGTCTGACGGTTTGCTAGAGGCTGTGCCCTGGTGAAATCTCAGGATTGAATATCTGTTGGAGCAGCTTAATCCCGGAGTCGAAGAGGATTGGCTTCCTTGGTCCTTGCTTCATCCCATTTTTGGCATGATTCTTAGAGGCAAGCGCCCTAACCCGCGGGAGTGAGGCCGAAGCTCAGGGGCTTCTGTGATCTGGTGCCTCACCCTATCAGCATGCGGGATTCAAGCTTTGGTTAGAGCATATGTGTTTGCTTTCTGCGTCTTGAACCAGTGCTAAACTGTCCTGCCCTACGCATGAGAAGGGTGAGATGACGTATTCTCGCAGATCACAGCTGTCACAACGCTCGAAACTTTCTGTCTTTGGACGACCTGCACGATTCCACCGTTTTGGTAGGCACGAAGATTCGAAGGTTCAGGATGGATGGTTGGACGGCAGTGCCTTCGTAGTTTCTTTCTTCTCGTGGCTTCAGCCGTGGCATTGGTCGAAGTTCGTCCTTGTCGCGGGCAGTCGGTACTACCAGAGCTCTTCCCTCTCGATGTCGCAGTCGGACGTGCCAGTCTCCGCAGTCACGGCCACCGCCCTGCTAGGAATCCTCCCCTGCCAGCGTGGAGAGTGGCGAGGACGACGAGGATGACGAGAACTTCCTGGAGGAGATTCGTGATGTGACCTGCAGTTGAATTGAAGTCCTGTATATCCGTAAGAGATTTGAAGGAGGAAGAACTCGCTGGTTTGCTTCTGGGAGATCGGTGTGGACAGTCGGCAGAGGTCGGGGACACGACGGCTTGAAGCAGCAACGCATTTCCGAATTCTCCGGGCGGATTCGGATTGAGGCTTCACAGGAGGTTGAATCACATGGTTCTCGCATCAGAAAGGCCTTGCATCAGGCATGGACAGCTATGGACTACACATGTGCATGGCTTTTCGGGAGGAAGCACTACGCCCCTTTGCCGCCAAGCCAGCCGTCATCGAGGCACAGAGACTAATGACAAAATGCAATTGGCTCGTAGGAAAGGATATCCAGCGGTAAATCAAGTTGGGGATGGAGCGCTTCGAGCTTGAGGTGAGTGAGTGAGAGTGAGTGAGAGTGAGTAAGAGGGATAGAGAGAGAGCGAGAGAGAGAGAGAGAGAGAGAGAGAGAGAGAGAGAGAGAGCGCGCAGGGGGTCTCCTCCCTACACCCTAGCCCTGGCGAAAGAAAGAGAGAGCGCGCAAGGAGTCCTAGCCGACGATTAAAGGCACCCCTGCTGGCCCCGTGTGTTGTTGTACCAGGTACTTCCACCCAGTTTCCGTTGCACAGCGGGGGTACACTTTGTCGTGGCTCAGAGCTGAAGCCGAGGTTCAGGGCTGAGTGGAAGGTCGGAGGCAGTGCGGGATTAGGCTTCAGTTCGGGCTCAGGCAGGGTCAGGCAGGTAGGTGTGGATTACAGTGCAGTAGAACAGAGTGGAGCACCAAAGGAGGAAGGAGGGCACCAGCCTTTTCACAGCGGCCCACACTATGTAGGACTCTTACACCTCACTGATGGTGCACCCACGAATCCCACGGTGGCCCTACTTGTTTCACTGCCACACGTGCCCGCCCCTCCTTGTGAACATGTGTCCTTTTGCTGAGCCGAGGGGGGGCACCTGCTGTCATAAGGCTTCAGGGTTGAGTAGAAGGTCGCAGGTAGTGTTGCGCAGGGATTAGGCTTCCGTTCGGGTTCAGGCAGGGAAGAAAGGCTGGGGTACAGGTAAAGGCAAAGGGGTACACGAAAACAGGGGCACCAGTGGCAACCAAACTCGCTGTGCTTATTGTGGTACCCTACTGTCTTTGTTGTGCACTTGACCTGCTACACCGTTGCTACCAAGCCAGGGAACCCCGAGTTGAGTAACACTTTCGGTGGAGCGGGGGCCCTAGCCTTGAAGCTAGACCTTGTTGCTGCCCACACAGGGGCACCCGCCCACCTCCCTGAAGAACAGGGCACCTTCTTGTATAGCCGAGCCCGTCCACCGAAAATAGTGGATGGGGTAGCGCACTCGCGCGGGGCGGGTGGCCTGCACCCGCCTCAAACCCCGAGCAAAGCAAAGAGAGAGCGCGCCGTAGCCATTTTGGCTCAAGAGCCATTTTGGCTCAAGCCACGAGTGGTTCAAGGCCGAGCCTCCACACAGCAGAGGGCCTGAAACCGAGAGCTGAGGGAGCGTGCCCCCAGGGAAAGACCTGAGGGCGTAGTCCTAGCCTTTCGCGTGTAATACCATGCAACCCGTCAACAGCGGGCAGCCCCATGGTGGGGGGCTCGCCCCTCATGCCTGGCGAAAGAAAGAGAGAGCGCGAGACGTAACCTGTTTGACAGAGCACGACCCAGCAAAGAGAGCGGGGGATTCAACTAGGTGACGTGGTGTACTGTAAATGTACTCGTAGTGCAGCTGGCCTTGAGATTTGCATTGTGACACGTTTGCAGATTCTCCTTTGCATGGGGGCTCCAAGTAACCTGGGGTGGCACCAACTCGACATGTTAGCCATAGGGGTTGTGTGACTGTTCTAGTGTTCAGGGTTGGGGGGTGCCAGCCCAGAAATACTGAGCAAACCGTGCGTGCCATCGTTGCCGTAGTCATGTGAGACCTCAAAAGCCGACCGCTTAATGAAACCAAAAGCGGCCTGGCCAAGCACCTGCGGGTCACGACGTGACCCCTAGGCCCGGCAGAAAGAAAGAGTGCGAGAGAGAAAGAGGGAGAGAGAGAGAGAGAGACAGCGCCGGAGCCATTTTGGTTCAAGTCGTCTGCCTGCTCCTCCTCCCCGGAGGGGGGCTCAGCAACGGGTTCCCCCCTGAGCCTAAGGGTGGACGCTTGCTTGAGCGGGGGCGGCTTGAGGCCAGTGGCCCCACTGCCAGAGGAGCCCCGCGCAGCCATCAAGTTCAACGTCAAGAACATAGCACTTTGCGTCCTCACCTTCCGCACCGCCCTCGAAGAGTACGGTGGCCTCGAAGCTGTACGGTGCCGGCGCTTGGAGGCGAGTGAAGGACTCTAACTACCACTACCGTTTCGGCCTCGGCGAACCTATGCGGGGACAACCTCTACTGCCTGTCTCTCGGGCGCCTACGCTGGGAGAGGGACACGTTGACCTACCAGTCCTTGACAGTGGCAACCCGACCAAGCATCCAACCACCTGGTGACCCGGCGGAGAAGGAGCAGGGGAGGAGGCGAGCGAATCGAGTGCCGCAGCCATCACCCAGTTCCTCAAAGAAGAACTTCAGCGGAGCTTTGCAAAGTCCCACACCAGCTCCACGAGATCACTCGCAGCGTGATCAGCGAAGCTGTTGCCCGAACCACCCAACGAATCGGGGACGTGGAGCTCGCGATCTACAACCAAGTGCAGCAGGCCTTCAGCCACATCCAGGCCTTCACAGTGAGGCGAAACAGGTTCGAGAGTCAAATGACCCGGGCCGCGGATGTAAATAAGCAACTCTTGTCTAGAGTGCACACTCTCGAAGGAAAATAGCTAGAGTAAGAACGCCAGGCGGGGACATCACATGCTTTGGAGCGCCGAGCGGGGACCTTATTCCCCTCCTTTCCC